GTCAACTGACAGTTTGATGAGAGTTAGGAGGAATTCTTAGCTTTTCCAGAAGAATCAGTGTGTTCAGGAACAGTCTCGTCATGTATTGCGCTTTACTTCTTATAGGTCAAATTAGAAGTGAGAGATATGTCTCTCTGTATGTTTGTATATCTATATATCAATGTCTGTTTATATATCTGTAATTTTTATCTATCTGTCTCTCTGTCTGTAATTTTTGCTCTGCTATATTTTCATTGTTCAGAGATGTCAGTGTTGGTATTGGTGGTTGATATTGGTGCTAGTAATGGTGTTGGGGCTGTTGCTGATGTTGTTGTTGCTGTTAGTGCTGGTGGTTGGTGATGGTGGATGATGTTGGTACTGTATTGGTGCTCATGTTGGTGCTGATGTTGTTGTTGGTGCTGGTGGCTGGTGTTAGTGTTGGTGCTTGTGGCTGGTGCTAGTGTTGGTGCTGGTGTTTGTGTTATGAGGAATAGGGAAACGGAATAGGGCTGTGTTTGAAGAGTTTTTCAGCATGTTTCTCACAGAGGCACCTGTATGTTTTCCCTGCAAGTCTCTTAGCTGGTGTGACTCCTCACACCTGATGGGGGTGGGGCGTTGGGGGTTGCGGGTTGTAGGTAATTGGACTGTTATATAGAGCACTGAGGGGCTCCTTAGCCTTAAAACAGAGTTAAGATGTAGACAGTGTGTGCACTAAAAGAAAGAGAGAGAGAGCAAGTAAAGGAGAGAGATTTATTTGAGGGAGATGTGTTTGGGTGTGGCATTGTGGGACAGTGTGTGTGGTTTTATGATTCTCACATGTGCAGCTGCTTTTCCAGCAAGGTGTTCCTGTGATGTCAATGGGTAAATAAACAAATAGAGCAAACAGAAGGTACTGTTCTCTCTCTTTCTGTCTCTTTTTCTTTCACTCTCTCCCTCTCTCTGTCTGTCTAGCCCTCTCTGTGTTTTTCTTTATCTGTATCTCTTGCTCCCTCTCTGCCTATCTCTCTCTCTCTCTCTCTCTCACTCTCTCTCTCTCTCTCTCTCTCTCTGTATATGAATTAGTGTTGCACCTTGAGCCCAAATGTTTGCAGGCCTTTAAACTGTCTGTCTGCCTCTCATTACACCCACAACACACCCTTGGCTAGCTCTGTGTGCCTGCATGTTGTGTGTTTGAACCCAGTCTCAGTCTAGCCAGACCACCATTACTCTCCTAACACACACACACATACACACACCCCAATAACCCCCACAGACTAAGCTGTTTCCCATCTCTTAATAAAACATGTACAATACCTGTAGTTTGAGTCCCTCTAGGCCTGCAGGCAAGCTCTCTCTGACTCTAACTCATGTGTGTGTGTGTGTGTGTGTTTGTGCAGAGTGCAGGATCATTTCCTTCTATGCCTGCTTAGCTTTCAGTGACTGTTTTCGCACATAAACTGCAGCCCTGCTCTCCATCAGCCTGAGCATTTTCACATAAATCGCGGCAGCAGTAGCTACGGCTTTACAATGTCACTTCTGCACTCAGCAATGCCAGACTAAAAGGCCTTTTTTAGTCAGGTCAATGAAACGGTTATTAGTCTATCACATCACCTGTAAGAGTAGAGCCACGTGTGTATCAGAATCGTCCTGGAAAGACAGGCAAACATCAGTATGAACAAATGCCTATTTTTTAACTTGTAAGAAAATTTTTTTTTTTCATTTTTTTCACCATCGTCTTATTCATTCTTATTGCCAACACCATTTCGCTCCAAGGTGACATTTCCGTATTTTTCTTTATCTTGGTTTGAAAGCCAGTAGTGTCCGTTTTTTATTTCAGAGCCACGTTCTTTAGGTTAGTTATTTTGAACTGTGAGGTTGTGACACTTTGGCCACGCTCAGCAAGCAATGCAACTGCCATACGCTCACTTTTAGACACACGGCCTCCTGTCAGCATTCACATGGCAACACCTTACCCCCAGCCACTTTCACTGCATTCTATTTAAAATACTGCTGTATCTGTCTTTGGCTCAAAGGTGCATTTTTAGAGCTAAATTATACATAAGTTGACCCTATAAATGCTTAGGGCCTGTATATAGGTTCACCTTCAAATTCTTCACTCTCATAACTTACATATTAGTTTCATGGTAGTTTAAGGAGTTAAGTACTGTTTATAAATATGTACATATATTTGTTATAGGTCAACATAGACCTTTTATGGCTAAAGTGAATTGCTGGATTAATATTTTTGAACGTGTAGAAGATAATTCAATGTTAAAATGGTGAAATGTGATGAAATGTGACATGTGTTTATTGCACAAAAATGAATCATATTACTATAATCTAATATTTTTGCAGAAAGTGGCAGATGTCCCGCCTAGGAATTATTGTGCTACTTCAAAAGAATGAATAGAATTACTAAAACGATGTGCTTTAAAAAGAGCAGTAACTCATGCTGGAGTGATAATATGTTCTTCTGCTTGTCAGAAATCAGTGAGTGCCCATGCAGATTCAGGTTTCTCCTTAGTCATGCTGATCTTAGTTAACATGAGGCTGAAAAGTAAAACTGATCCAGGAGCATGGCTTCTACTGATGGTTTTTACGTTTGACCCCTGGAAGTCTGACACCCCTGTGTGTGTGTGTGTGTGTGTGTGTGTGTGTGTGTGTGTGCGTGGCCGTGAGGAAGAAAACGAGGAGTCAGAGATCAAATCCAGAGAGACTAGAAAAGACCTGTGATTAGAATGGTGTGTGTGTTTGTTTAAAGATGGTAATGTAAACCCACTAGCATGGGAGTGAGTTCACCAGATGCTCAAGCATTTACAGTGTTCTCTATATTTTATATCTTCAGAGTGCAAATAAATGGCTTTTTCTTTGCAGTAAAACCACATTGCGCAGTACTGACTTATTAGGGGAAAGATTTACACATTGTAACACATTTTGTTTTTCGTCTAATAATTTTAATCAATTTTTAGTATTTTAGTATTTGAGAAACATTAATATTTTTTTTAATGCAAGCAACCTACACATCTCTGCTACTCAAGAAAATGAAATGGTGCGATTGCAAACATTAAAACTATTCCCAAAGGCAGGGATAATTGTAACAGATGAAGGGACTAGTTGTAACATTTGTAAAAACATCTGGTAAATTGATGCAAAACACAATTATTGTCTGAACCAAACAAGCTTTTCCACCTAAATAAATCAAATATATTCATCATATATATGTATGCACATATTTTTGTTGTAAAGCATGAATCTTTCAGAAAATTAACTATTTTTCTGTTTATATAGGGAGAATATTGTCAATCTTATCTTTACTTTAGGAGGCTTAGTTTTAACACTGTTACAGCTAACCACGCTGTGTGGAGGCTGTATGTTATCCTGGCTAGCTCTCACTGAACGCAGTAATCAAGAAACAATAAAAAAGGTCATTTTAAGGTATAAAAACTGCAGTGAAAATTCCCAAATGAAATTGCTATGGAGTATGAGACTGAGTGAAACATATTTTGACCAATTAGATTTAAAATGTTATAAAATATTGATTTTAACATAGTTCTATATTATCAACAGTTGCTCATGTTAAGTGTCTGGAGTGCAGTTTTAGGTGTCACTAAGAATACTGCCTCCTGCTGATGATGAAATGTCCTTCTTAGCCCAAACGATTGCAGTGTAAAATTTACAACCGCTTGGATTTATGCTAAACGTGCAGATATTTTGTTTCTGTCTTTATTGCTGAGTGCACACTTGATATTTAGTTTCAACTTAATAGATCAGAACCAAAGTTTTTGTTTTCAAAGAGGTCCACAGCAGTAATTTAGTGGTGTTTTTTACGCTGTGGGTGGCTATCATATTAATGGAAGAGATAGGCACGTTTCCCCCTTTCGCAGTAAATCTTGCGTCCACCGTGAATGCAGTCCACTCTCCTTCCGGTCATTTCCTGACATTCTGTCCGTCTCCCCCTCCCATCATGCTGTTTTCCCTGCAACTTGTAATGAACCCCCTTAAAACCCCCCCAAACTGCACTTCCTCAGCAGAGTCTGATGCTGATCTGTGCAAAATGAAACATTCAGGATTAGCGTGGAGATAATCTACAATAAAATACATCCACATTCTCAGTTTAGATGTATTTGAGGTTTACGTGTGTGCATATGACATAAAAAAAAACAAACGATACAAACAAATATATAAATCCCTGATTGTTTATTCATTTCATTCACATATTTGGTTTGAGTTTGCAGCCATGGTACATGCACATTCTCTGAAACATAACTTTAAAACATGATAACCAATAAAAAAGTAAGTGAAAGTGAAAAACATAAACATGAACAGACACAGAAAAAAGGATGGCACACATACATATATATACAGAAAGCCAGGGCCGAATACATATTCACTTGCCCTGTTGTTTAACAAGAAGACTGCACTGGGGTTAAAAGATTTTTTAGTCTGTGGCTGAAATTTCTTATTCAAGGGATGATCTAATAAAACATTTCTGTTTACTCTTATTTATTTTTTACAGTAATTGAGAACTTAATGAAATTGAGCTTTCCCATTTCGAATAGCTATTGTTTATAATAACCACTTCATTATTCACTTGAATGCCTACTTTATGCCTTTAAAACTTTCTCTTTTTATTTACGTCCTAGGGTTTACTGTTCATGGGCTTCTTCGCAAACTGGCTGAGTTTTTCTTAGTTTATTTATAATGTTTAATAGAAGTCATGGCCATTTAAGGGGTCAAAGGATATTTTCAGTGATATGCTGTATCCTGTTTGACATTATGCTAATAGCAGTAAATATGTACCATAAAGATAATAAGAAGCCTTTGCTTCTGGCCACAACCAACATTTTGATGTTTCTTGACCAAAAAGTGTTCCCTGTCGCGATCTTTGGTGTTAAATCAGTCTGCTTTATCTTCTTTAGGGCATTGTTTGGTGATTATTGTTGACTGTCACTGTGTAGTGTACAAGCTTTGGGAAGCTAATAAGTGATTACACTGTAAAATTCCAAGTGTTCTCATCAATACTATGTCTGTGTGTGTCATAGGTAGTAGACGACATGGGCAATGTGAAGTTCTGTCTGGATGGAGCGCTTGAGGCCAGCGGGAGTTGGCTGAAGTACGTACGCACAGCGCCGTCCTACGAAGAGCAGAACCTGACTGTGTGCCACCTCAGTGAAGATCAGGTCAGCTGCTTTCTTCAGTCTGCTTTGGTCATCCATGCTGGACACTTGTGTCACTCTCTTGGTTTTATTTTAATGCTGGGTTCTCCATTCCATCCACATACTCAGTATGTAACTCTATGGTCTAACCAGCAGCCTAAATACAAAACCACGATTCAGTCTCATAAAGGGATGGTTAAACATATTTTTATACTAATCAAAAGTCAGAGCATGCATCTTGAAAACAGGGTTGGAGTCACTTAGCTTAGCATAATGAATGAAAGTCTTAGGAAAAGTAAGATGACTTAGTTAGTCACCTTAATAGATGTTTGACCATTTATAGTGTGTAGCTCAACTGAAAATAACAACAAAAACTTAATCAAATTCGAATCATAATAAAATATGTCCTCTTCTGCTTACAAACATAAATGTTACATGTGTCAAATGAGAGTTTTGAATCCACTCTTTCCATATCCATCTTGAAGAACTTTTCTTAATAGTTTCTCACTCGTAGGTCATTGAAACGAGCTGGAAAATTCTGTTGAAAATGCAGATTCTAAACTTTCAACCCATACCCTATTCTGTTTGTAAGATGTATTGTTATGATTTAAATTTGATGAAAAGTTATTGTTGTATAAATAGTATTTTTTGGCAGAAACTATTTTCTGTATTTCCACGTTAATGTCATTATTTGACATCAAAACAGGGAAAAAAAGTTGACAGACTCGAACCTGTAAATCGATTGCAAATTGAAATCATTTTCTGATTATGCAGCTACATTTAAATAAATGTGTAATCTAAATCAAATATGTAGAAACTTTTTTTTTCTGAATTTACTGCTGAAAAAAGCTGGAATGCATTCTCAAACCTGCCAATGCAGAATGTAATTTGCACATAAATGTAATTTATTGTGTGAGTAACTGTATAATAATTATGTAAATACATGTTAATAAGTGTGTAATGTAACTCAAATAAATACTAAAATGACAATAATATATAGTTAGCAGATAATAACTAATATATGAAGTTTATTAGTATAACATGCAGAGTTATAAGCCAGCAGTTTAAGGGGTTAATTTGACCTGCCAATTTTTTAGAAAGTCTATTTACATATGTTTGCAGGGAGTTGAACATAGTATCAGACTTATGAGACACAAATCAATGACTCAGCATAGGTGCAAAAAATAGGACTGGACCTATATTAAACCTCTATATTAAACTCTCGTTAATATGTCAAAAGCTGGACTTAACATATGACCAAATGTTTCCAGAGAGCTGGACACTGTTGGTCTTTATGGGCTGGTATTGACACAGTGAGTTAACAAGAGCAATAACTGTAATCCTCTCAGGCAGCTGGTAGTGTCAGGAAGACATGAAGAGGATCTGCTGATGTCACAGCACTAACTCTCCAACAATAGATAAAAAATGCAGCTATTGTTCACACAGGGCTGTTCTCAAAGTGTGTATCTAAGGAAGTGAGTCAACAGGCTATAAATGAGTCAAATATAGGAGATGGAAGAAGACACTCCTTGTAATTGATTGTCTACAGTTATTGTCGTCTTTTGAAGCACTGGGTAGTCATTTACTGTCTGCAAGATAAGATACCTGGTAGACACATGCAAAGGTTTCTAAATACATAATACAATTCCTGGAAAACTTTGGGTGGTTCTGTATCTGGCATATCATGTCTGGAGAAATCTTTAAGCCTCACCTGGTAGACTGTGTTTAGTCATGTTCAGTCTTTACCCTGATATCACTAGTTCCACCATTTTCAAAAGATTCTGATATAGATGTAAACATTTGGAGTGTTCCATTCTAGAGAAGCTTACAGAGTCAGAATTGTGGAGAACAGTGGTAAGAACCAGACATCTGAGGGGTTTAATGGCTCTAAAAGCTCCCTCACAGAATGTTATTAAATGAAATGGGAATATGTTGCCTGATGAAATGTGGGGCAAAAAAGGCAAAAATGATCGTAGTACAGTAACGAAATAAACAGTTCCAGGGCTGATTAGTGCATCTTTCTTTTTGTTATTACTGACTATAAATAAACAACAATCCAACTTGGGTTTAATTAGAGTTTTAAACTGTAATTGGTGGCTGTATAATAATTGTTATCTGACAGCTCATTTGCAACTCAGCTATATTTGTTTGACAACCATCCTGTGACCACCAAAATTAACTTGCATAATTTCAAAAAAAGTGGACAGCCATGCACCCCCTGTCCTGTAGTACACCTCCCCCCAACCCCTGCCTGAATTTGCACCTGTGCAGTTGTAGGGCATTGCAAGGCAAACTTAGTGGCCAAAGAAAAGTTTTATTTTTTTCAGATTTATTTCTATTTTACAATTATTAACATAAAAAACTGAAAAGATAGTAAATGGATAGTAAATAAAATGGTTATTTTGTATATTTTATTCCAGGTAATTTTGGACAGTTTTTATTGGTCCCTTCCCAATGAAATCACACAATGTAAAGGGCAGTAGGCATTTTATAAGGGAGTTAAAAAAGTGGAGTTGCGTTATGAGTTATGTTTTAATATGACAGTAGTGATATGTAAGTCTCCTGGTGCCCGTCCTGCATCTGTGTTTAAGCATACCTTGTGAGGGTGTGTGTATAGGTGTGTGTATGAGTGCATTAGGACTGCAAGATATTGTAAAAATGCTTTTGATGTTACATGATGAAAAGCTAGCCTACGGACAGCTTAATTCCAATGCATGCATCTTTCCCAGATGGATAAAATATATTATGTCAACACTGTTAATGCCAAAAGTATGTAAACTGAAAGATGAAATTATATTGGTGTAATACTTTTATTCATATGGAAATAATGTACAATCAATGTAAATCCCGTGCATTATATTTTTTTATGTGGTTAGAGAGCTCATTTGCATATTGTAACCTTCAGCGATATTGGTATTGTTAATTGCAGTAAGAAATAACAAATAATATATCGTACAGCCGTAGAGTGCATGCCTGTATTTGTGCACACACAAGTACTCAACTGGTCTCTTAATGCCAGACCAGACAGTGTCTCTGTCCGAGAGAGCAGCGAAAGCCGTGGCCTTTGTCCCCTCTTTCTCTTTCTTTCTGCCCCCCTCTTTCCGTCAGCCGTGCTGTCGACAGGGGCAACCGGCGTGGTCACCGTCGTCTTTGAGCCTGACACGTGAAACATAAGCCTAACAAACAGGGCAGGACTGGAGGGGGGCCACGGAGGGACGGCCTCGGAGACTGACAACCAACAATTGACTTCAACTAGCAAACCCGATCATTAAAGTCCTTTCACTTCAATGACCGGCCACTGCTGAGCACACAGGAGAATAATAGCTCCCGCTAAAATCACTCAACTAAATGTATGGTTTCTGTTTACTTTCCCCCCTTCTTTCCGATAGTTAGCTGTTTTTTTTTTCCTCTTCCTTTTCCTCTTCCCTCCTTTATGCCGCACTTTATGCGGTGTCTTATGGACAACAGCTTATTATTTATTCAGAAAGGCGACACAATGCAAAAATGCATAATTCATCGAACTTCGTACTTTGCCGTTCTATTTGAGCATGCACAATGCATGAGTGGTATGGAAAATATGCGCACGCCCAGCAAATTTGGACGCGGCTGTAACCTTTTAAAACCCGACCCAGATCATTTATTTACTTGTTTACACGTTTGTCGCTCATGTCCCGGACCCCGAAATACACGGCTGACCATGTATAATGCATTTCATGCATGCGGGTGCTTTTTTCCCTGCCTTTTTTTGTCATGGCACTTGGAAATGAATACAGATGTCGGTGGCTGTCACGTAAAGTGTGAATGGCTTTGAATAACAAGTGTCACCTATAGTGAGACCATTATGCTTTTGGCCAAAACTGGCCAGTTACATTTCTGATACTAGACTTGTATCAGTTCTCTTTGATTGTTATCAACAAACGGTGTTAACTGAATCGGTACATGAGAGCGAACATGTAAATATGTGAATGGAGAAGCTGGAGAACACAGACCTGAGATTAGATTCACAGCTTAGCACCATTCTCGGAGGAACTAAGAAAAGCTCAGTGCAGCTGAGACTTGTAAGTGCGTGTGTAGAAGAGTGTGTGTGTGGTTGTTTTAGAAATACAGTGGACGCCAGAGCTTTGCAAGCTGATTCTGAGTGTCTCCTGTGAGGCAGTGTGGTGGTGACTTTAGAGCAGATTCTGTTCTATTGGTTCAATTGCCACTATTGATTATATTAGTAATGGAGTAGGGATGCACCAATATGAGAATTCTGGGCCAATGCTGATATCTGATATTTTTCATGTACACATCTGCTGATACCGATAGGTGAACATTTAGAAAATGTAGAAATGACAACTAAATCTACCTGGATTAGCATTACAGAGAAATGTTACACTGATTTCTGGAGAGTAACAAATGTAAAATTTTCATTTTCATTCACTCTTTATTTTTTGACGTGTTTTAAAAATATTAACTGTCCTTTACATTACATTACTTTACATTAACATATATTAAAAATGATGAATGTTTTTTCCTTCTCCTGAAAAGTTATCATTTTGGAGATGCAAGCTTTTTGTCCAACAGTGACAAAATGTAAAACAGTAATATTAGAATACAAATAATATTAATACAGTAAGCATTGATTTTATGTATATTAAAGTGTTTGGTTTCCAAACAACCTCTCCTCATGGCAGCCTTGGTTTAATTGTAGTGATTAATTGTATCATCCAGCACCTAGTTTGGATAATCCGTACTTTTTCACTTTAAATCAGCTGTGCTGGTGTTAGAATTTAATAAATCCATGCAGTGGCTGGGGGCATTGAAGAGAAATCTGGAACCAAAAATTTGTTCTTCTGATTAGCTCAAAAAATATCAACTAGATTTTTTTAAGAATAAAATCTTGTAACATTTTACTGTATTAATATTCATCTGTATTTTATTCTAATGTTATATAGCGTTTTATAATGGCCATAACGCACGTAGATAATAGACTGCCCAGATAAATGGTTTAAAATTTGCCCAAGATTTTTGCACAGTACTGT